TTTCCAAGAATGAAAAAGAACGAACAGCTGGGCATGGTGGCTCACGCCTGTAATCCCAGCACTTTTGGAAGTCAAGGCAGGCAGATCACCTGAGGTCGGAACCTTTAAGAAAAGGTTATGATGTAGAAAAACGTATTTTTAAAATTACGGAATGATTTCATCTATAAAATGCTAACATCCATCAGACAGTTCAGGGTTTTCTGCACTAAAATTTAAGGTTTCAAAGGATAAGTATTCTAGCTGATATATACTTCTGCAAGTTGTGCTCTTATTGAAAATAAATTGTGTCATTTGGAGGTTATTTGAAAGTTATTTATTGAAGAAGGTTAAAAAATCAGTAAGTAGGGGAGCGAGATGTGAAAAAAAAGTTATGGCATATTTTTGGTAAGGAATGCTATAAAGAAAAAAGAATAATTTTGTATGAAAAAGGATCTTGTATGGTAAATTTTTGTCCTAAAGCAAAATGACTGATTATTTAAGAAAGAGTACAAATTAGGAACCCCAAGCATATGGTAGTTATGTGTAAGTTATGACAAGGTTAGTGAAGGAGAATTTATCAAAGGAATTTTGTGTGTGATTAAGTTAGCTATAATTTAAAAGGAAGTATTTACAATAGTCTTTCTAAAGAATGATCCCCAGCTGGGCATGGTGGCTCGTGCCTGTAATCCCAGCACTTTGGGAGGCCGAGTCGGGTTTATCACGAGGTCAGGAGATCGAGACCATCCTGGCTAACACGGTGAAACCCTGTCTCTACTAAAAATACAAAAAATATTAGCCGGGTGTGGTGGCAGGCGCCTGTAGTCCCAGCTACTCGGGAGGCTGAGGCAGGAGAATGGCATGAACCCGGGAGGTGGAGCTTGCAGTGAGCTGAGATACACCTGCACTCCAGCCTGGGCAACAAAAAGAGACTCCTTCTCAAAAAAAAAAAAAAAAGAATGATCCCCAGAGATTGGCAAGACGGTCAAATAGGAATAGCTACAGTCTGCAGCTCCCAGCAGGACCAACACAGAAGGCGGGTGATTTCTGCATTTCCAACTGAGGTATCCTGTTCATCTCACTGGGACTGGTTAGGCAGTGGGGACAGCCCACAGAGGGTGAGCAAAGGTAGGGTGGGGCGTCACCCCACCCAGGAAGTGCAAGCCGGGGGCCTCCCTCCCCGAGCCATGGGAAGCCGTGATGGACTGTGCTATCCGGCTCAGATACTACGCTTTTCCTATGATTTTTGCAATCCAATCCGCAGACCAGGAGATTCCCTCGTGTGCCTACACCACCAGGGCCCTGGGTTTCAAGCACACAACTGGGTGGCTATTTGGGCAGACACCGAGCTAGCTGCAGGAGTTTTGTTTTGTTTTGTTTTTTCTTACCCCAATGGTGCCTGGAACCCCAGCGAGACAGAACCATTCACTCACCTGGAAAGGGGGCTGAAGCCAGGAAGCCAAGTGATCTCTCTCAGCGGGTCCCACTCCCACAGAGCCCAGCAAGCTAAGAACCACTGGCTTGAAATTCTCACTGCCAGGCCAGCAGTTTGATGTCAACCTGGGATGATCAAGCTTGGTGTGGGGAGGGGCGTCCACCATTACTGAGGCTTGAGTAGGTGGTTTTCCCCTGACAGTGCTAAGGAGGCCAGGAAGTTCAGATTGGGCGGAACACACCACAGCATGGCAAAGCAGCTGTGGCCAGACTGCTTCTCTAGATTGCTCCTCGCTGGGCAGGTAATCTCTGAAAGAAGGGCAGCAGCCCCTTCAGGGGCTTATAGATAAAACTCCCATCTGCCTGGGACAGAGCACCTGGGGGAAGGGGAGGCTGTGGGCACAGCTTCAGCAGACTTACACATTCCTGCCTGCCAGCTCTGAAGAGTGCAGCAGATCCTGACAAGGAGCATTCTCCCAGCACAGCACTTGAGCTCTGCTGAGGGACAGACTGCCTCCTCAAGTGGGTCCCTGATCCCCGTGCCTCCTGACTGGGAGAGATTTCCCAACAAGGGTTGAAAGACACCTCTTACAGGAGAGATCCAGCTGGCATCAGGCCGGTGCCCCTCTGGGATGAAGCTGCCAGAAGAAGGAGAGGCAGCAACCTTTGCTGTTCTGCAGCCTCCGCTGGTGATACCCAGGCAAACAGGGTCTGGAGTGGACCTCCAGCAAACTGCAGCAGACCTGCAGAAGAGGGTCCTATTAGTAGAAAAACTAACAAACAGAAAGCAACAACATCAACATCAACAAAAGAACCTCCACACAAATACCCCATCCAAAGGTCATCAGCCTCAAAGATCAAAGGTAAATAAATCCACGGAGATGAGGAAAAACCAGCGCAAAAATGCTAAAAATTCCAAAAACCAGAATGCCTCTTCTCCTCCAAATGATTGCAACTCCTCTCCAGCAAGGGCGCAAAACTGAATGAAGAATAAGTTTGATGAATTGACAGAAGTAAGCTTCAGAAGGTGAGTAATAACTAACTACTCTGAGCTAAAGGAGCATATTCTAATCCAATGCAAGGAAACTCAGAACCTTGATAAAAGGTTACAGAAACTGCTAACTAGAATGACCAGTTTAGAGAAGAATATAAATGACCTGATGGAGCTGAAAAATACAGCACAAGGACTTCGTGAAGCATACACAAGTACCAATAGTCGAATCAATCAAGCAGAAGAAAGGATATCAGAGATTTAACATCAACTACTGAAATAAGGCTTGAAGACAAGATTAGAAAAAAAAAAAAATGAAAAGGAACGAACAGCTGGGCATGGTGGCTCATGCCTGTAATCCCAGCACTTTTGGAGGCCAAGGCAGGCGGATCACCTGAGGTCGGGAATTTGAGACCAGCCTGACCAACATGGAGAAACCTTGTCTCTACTGAAAATACAAAAATTAGCTGGGTGTGGTGGCACATGCCTGTAATCCCAGCTACTCAGGAGGCTGAGGCAGGAGAATCACTTAAACCCAGGAGGCGGAGGTTGCGGTGAGCCGAGATCATGCCATTGCACTCCAGCTTGGGCAACAAGAGTGAAACTCCATCCAAAACAAAAGAAAGAAAAGGAACAAAAAAAAGCCTCCAAGAAATATGGGACTAGGTGAAAACACCAAACCTACGATTGATTGGGGTACCTGAAAGTGATGGGGAGAATAAAGCCAAGTTGCAAAACACACTTCAGGATATTATCCAGGAGAACCTCTCCAACCTAGCAAGACAGGTCAACATGCTGATTCAGGAAATACAGAGAACATCACTGAGATACTCCTTGAGAAGAGCAACCCAAAGACACATAATCATCAGATTCTCCAAGGTTGAAATGAAGGAAAAAATGTTAAGAGCAGCCAGAAAGAAAGGTCAGGTTACCTACAAAGGGAAGCCAATCAGACTAATAGCAGATCTCTCTGCAGAAACCCGACAAGCCAGAAGAGAGTGAAGGCCAGTATTCAACATTCTTTTTTTTTTTTTTTTTTGAGACAGAGTCTCGCTCTGTCGCTCAGGCTGGAGTACAGTGGCCGGATCTCAGCTCACTGCAAGCTCCGCCTCCCGGGTTCCCGCCATTCTCCCGCCTCAGCCTCCCGAGTAGCTGGGACTACAGGCGCCCGCCACCTCGCCCGGCTAATTTTTTTGTTTTTTTTTTAGTAGAGACAGGGTTTCACCATGTTAGCCAAGATGGTCTCGATTTCCTGACCTCGTGATCTGCCCGTCTCGGCCTCCCAAAGTGCTGGGATTACAGGCTTGAGCCACCGCGCCCAGCCAGTATTCAACATTCTTAAAGAAAATAATTTTCAGCCCAGAATTTCATATGCAGCCAAACTAAGTTTCATAAGTGAACGAGAAATAAAATCCTTTACAGACAAGCAAATGCTGAGGGATTTTGCCACCATCAGGCCTGCCTTACAAGAGCTCCTGAAGGAAGCACTAAATATGGAAAGGAAAAACTGGTACCAGCCACTGCAAAAACATACCAAAACATAAAGACCAACAACACTGTGAAGAAACTACATCAACTAATGTGCAAATTAACCAGCTAGCATCATGATTACAGGATCAAATTCACACATAAAAACATTAACCTTTAATGTAAATGGGCTAAATGCCCCAATTAAAAGACACAGACTGGCAAGTTGGATAAAGAGTCAGGACCTATCTGTGCTGTATTCAGAAGACCCATCCCACTGGCAAAGACACACATAGGCTCAAAATAAAGGGACGGAGGAATATTTACCAAGCAAATGGAAAGCAAAAAAAAAACAAAACAAAAAAAGCGGGGGTTGCAATACTAGTCTCTGATAAAACAGACTTTAAACCAACAAAGATCAAAAAGACAAAGAAGGGCATTAAATGATGGTAAAGGGATCAACGCAACAAGAGCTAACTATCCTAAATATATATGCACCCAATACAAGAACACCCAGATTCATAAAAACAAGTTCCTAAAGACCTACAAAAATACTTAGACTCCCACACAATAATAGTAGGAGATTTTAACATCGCACTGTCAGTATTAGATAGATCAATGACACAGAAAATTAACAAATATATTCAGGACTTGAACTCAGCTCTAGACCAAGCGGACCTAATAAACATCTACAGAACTCTCCACCTATCCCAAAGCAACAGAATATACATTCTTCTCAGTACCACGTAGCACTTATTCTAAAATCGACCACATAATTGGGAGTAAAACACTCCTCAGCAAATGCAAAAGAATGGAAATCATAACAAACAGACTCTCAGACCACAGTGCAGTCAAACTAGAATTCAGGATTAAGAAACTCACTCAAAACTGCACAACTACATGGAAATTGAACAACCTGCTCCTGAATGACTACTGGGTAAATAATGAAATTAAGGCAGAAATAAGTTCTTTGAAACCAAGGAGAATAAAGAGACAACAAAGCAGAATCTCTGGGACATAGCTAAAGCAGTGTTAAGAGGGAAATTTGTAGCGCTAAATGCCCATGTCAAAAAGCAGAAAAGATCTAAAATCGACACCCTAACATCACAATTAAAAGAACTAGGCTGTCGGAAGGGGAGCCTAGTCGAACTGATTTGTCCCTCTCCGCTCTCCGTCTGAAAACCTTGGCGGAAAGGGTCGTAGACATGGCGGCCATCAGGCAAAGAATGAGACTTCTTGTTGCTCCATGTTCTCCCAGCATTTACCATCATCAATGTTTCGGATTTTCACCCTGCTTGTAGATGGGAAAACTGACAACCATACCTGCAGGTCTAATATATGCATCTGTAAGTGTACATGCAGTCAAAGAAGAGGAATCCAAAAAGCAGCTAGTGAAACCAGAGCAGCTCCCTATATATACTGCACCACCGCTTCAGTCTAAATATGTTGAAGAGCAGCCTGGTCATTTACAAATGGGTTTTGCTTCCATCCAGACTGCAACTGGTTGTTATATTGGCTGGTGCAAGGGTGTTTATGTCTTTGTGAAAAATGGGATAATGGATACAGTACAATTTGGAAAAGGTTCCAAGTTTAAGAAAATTACTTATCCTCTGGGACTGGCCACTTTAGGAGCAACTGTTTGCTACCCAGTTCAGTCCATAATAATTGCTAAGGTAACAGGGAAAAAGATATATGCTACAAGCCAGCAAATTTTTGGAGCAGTTAAATCACTGTGGACAAAAAGCAGCAAAGAAGAGTCACTCCCTAAACATAAAGAAAAAACTAAGCTAGGATCCTCTGTCGAAATAGAAGTACCTGCAAAAACAACTGACGTCTTGAAACACTCAGTGCCCTTGCCAACAGAACTCAGCTCTGAAGCGAAGACCAAATCAGAATCCACTTCAGGTGCAACACAGTTTATGCCTGACCCCAAGCTCATGGATCACGGGCAGTCCCACCCAGAAGATATAGATATGTACAGCACTAGAAGCTGAAGTAGACTGCATACAGAGACTACATAGAAAACTACAAGATGTGTGACGTTGCAAATAATGATGAAAAAAATCATGTAATGGGTAACTGATACATAGAGTATTACTTAAACCAAGTTTTTCCCTTACATATCCAAATGTACAATTTGATAAATTACATAAGTGGTTAACAGACAAACTGAATGCAATGCAAACAATGTTAAATGATTGATGAGGAGACTTAGGTAGAAGTATTAGCTTGCATTTGATGACCTTTAAAGGCATTTAAAAAAAAAATGAAGACATGAACTCCAGTGAGATTAAAATCTGAAAATACATATATGTATGTATAAAGACATACATATTTGTGCAAATAAACATATATTTCTGCTCTAGCGTTCCCAGACTAATGTCAGTTAAATTAGAATGGTGTGTGGAAAGATGTGTTTCCCTCTGTTTTTTTTTTTTTTTCCGTTTCCTAGAGCTGGAATAAAATATCTATGTTTTATGGGAAAAAAAAAAAAAAAGAACTAGAGAAGCAAAAGCAAACAAATTCAAAAACTAGAAAAAGACAAGAAATAACTAAGATCAGAGCAAAAAGGGAGATACACACACACACACACACACACACCAACCTTCAAAAAGTCAATGAATCCAAGAGCAGGTTTTTCGAAAAGATTAACAAAATAGATAGATGGCTGGCAAGACTAATAAAGAAGAAAAGAGAGAAGAACCAAATAGATGCAATAAAAAATGATAAAGGGGATATCACCACTGATCCCACAAAAATACCAACTACCAGGCTGTGCATGATGGCTTATGACTGTAATCCCAGCACTTTGGGAGGACGAGGTGGGTGGATCACGAGGTCAGGAGTTCGAGACCAGCCTGGCCAAGATGGTGAAACCCCAACTCTACTAAAAATACAAAAATTAGCCAGGCGTGGTGGTGCACGCCTGTAGTCCCAGCTACTTGGGAGGCTAAGGCAGGAGAATTGCTTGAACCCGGGAGGCGGAGGTTGCAGTGAGCTGAGATCATGCCATTGCACTCCAGCCTGGGTGACAAGAGCAAAATTCCATCTTAAAAAAATATATACAAACTACCATCGGAGAATACTATAAACACCTCTACACACATAAACTAGAAAATCTAGAAGAAATAGATAAATTGCTGGACACATACAACCTCCCAAGACTAAACAAGGAAGAAGTCAAATCCCTACATAGACCAATAACAAGGTCTGAAATTGAGGCAGTAATTAATAGCCTACCAACCAAAAAAGTCGAGGACCAAATGGATTCACAGCCGAATTATACTAGAGGTACAAAGAGGAGCTGGTACCATTTCTTCTGAAACTGTTCCAAACAATAGAAAATGAAGGACTCATCCCTAACTCATTTTATGAGGCCAGCATCATCCTGATACCAAAACTTGGCAGAGACACAACACAAAAAAAGAAAATTTCAGGCCAATATTCCTGATGAACATCGATGTGATAATCCTCAATAAAATACTGGCAAACTGAATCCAGCAGCACATCAAAAAGCTTATCCATCCACGACCAAGTCAGCTTCATGCCTGGGATGCAAGGCTGGTTCAACATACCCAAATCAATAAACATAATCCATCTCATAAACAGAACCATGTAAAAACCACATGATTATCTCAATAGCTGCAGAAAACACCTTTGATGAAATTCAACATCCCTTCATGCTAAAAATTCTCAATAAACTAGGTATTGATGGAACGTATCTCAAAATAATAAGAGCTATTTATGACAAACCCATACCCAATATCACACTGAATGGGCAAATGCTGGAAGCATTCCCCTTGAAAACTGACACAAGACAAGGATGCCCTCTCTCACCACTCCTATTCAACATAGTACTGGAAGTTCTGGCCAGGGCAATCAGGCAAAAGAAAGAATAAAGGGTGTTCAAATAGGAAGACAGGAAGTCAAATTGTCTCTGTCTGCAAAAGACATGATTGTATATCTAGAAAACCCTCTCGTCTAAGCTCAAAAACTCCTTAAGCTTATAAGTAACTTCAGCAAAGTCTCAGGATACAAAATTAATGTGCAAAAATCATAAGCATTCCTATACACCAAAAATAGACAAGCAGAGACCCAAATCATGAGTGAACTCCCATTCACAATTGCTACAAAGAGAATAAAATACCTAGGAATACAACTTACAAGGGATGTGAAGGACCTCTTCAAGGAGAACTATAAACCAATGCTCAAGGAAATAAGGGAGGACACAAACAAATGGAAAAAAAAATTCCATGCTCATGGATAGGAAGAATCAGTATCATGAAAATGGCCATACTCTCCAAAGTAATTTATAGATTCAATGCTATTCCCATCAAGCTACCATTGACTTTCTTCACAGAACTAGAAAAAACTACTTTAGATTTAATATGGAACCAAAAACGAGCCCATATAGCCAAGACAATCCTAAGCAAAAGAACAAAGCTGGAGGCATCACGCTACCTGACCTCAAACTATACTACAAGGCTACAGTAACCAAAACAGCATGGTACCAATACCAACACAGATATATAGACCAATGCAACAGAACAGAGGCCTCAGAAATAACACCACACAACTACAACCATCTGATCTTTGGCAAACCTGACAAAAACAAGCAATGGGGAAAGGATTCCCTATTTAATAAATGGTGTTGGGAAAACTGGCTAACCATATGCAGAAAACAGAAACTGGGCCCCTTCCTCATGCCTTAAACAAAAATTAACTCAAGATAGGTTAAAGACTGAAACATAAAACCCAAAACCATAAAAACCCTAGAAGAAAACCTAGGCAATATCATTCAGGACATAGGCATGGGCGATGACTTCATGACTAAAACACCAAAAGCAATTTCAACCAAAGTCAAAATTGGCAAATGGGATCTAATTAAATTAAAGAGCTTCTGCTCAGCAAAAGACACTATCAGAGTGAACAGGCAACCTACAGAATAGGAGAAAATTTTTGCAATATATCCAGCTGACAAAGGGCTAATCTCCAGAATCTAAAAGGAACTTAAACAAATTTACAAGAAAAAAAGAAAAAAAAAACAACCCCATCAAAAAGTGGGCAAAGGATATGAACAGACACTTCTCAAAAGAAGACATTTATACCTGGTGCAGTGGCTCACGCCTGTAATCCCAGCACTTTGGGAGGCTGAAGTGGACAGATCATGAGGTCAGGAGATCGAGACCATCCTGGCTAACACCGTGAAACCCGGTCTCTACTAAAAATACAAAAAAAAAAAAACAATTAGCCAGGCATGGTGGTGGGCGCCTATAGTCCCAGCTACTCTGGAGGCTGAGGGAGGAGAATGGTGTGAACCCAGGAGGCAGAGCTTGCAGTGAGCCGAGATCTCACCACTGCTCTCCAACCTGGGGGACAGTGCGAGACTCCATCTCAAAAAAAAAAAAAAAAAAAAAAAAAAAAAAAAAAAAAAAAAAAAAAAAAAAAAAACGGGAAAAGAAAAGAAAAGAAAAGAAGATATTTATGGGGCCAACAAACATTAAAAAAAAAAAAAAAAGCCTCATCACCACTGGTCATTAGAAAAATGCAAATCAAAACCACAATGAGATACCATCTCATGCCAGTTAGAATGGCAATCATTAAAAAGTCAGGAAACAACAGATGCTGGCGAGGATGTGAAGAAATAGGAACGCTTTTACACTGTTGGTGGGAGTGTAAATTAGTTCAGCCATTGTGTAAGACAGTGTGGTGATTCCTCAAGGATCTAGAACCAGAAATTGCATTTGACCCAGCAATCCCATTACTGGGTATATACCCAAAGGATTATAAATCATTCTACTATAAAGACACATGCACATGTATGTTTATTGCAGCACTATTTACAATAGCAAATATTTGGAACCAACCCACATGCCCATCAGTGACAGACTGGATAAAGAAAATGTGGCACAAATACACTATGGAATACTATGGAGCCATAAAAAAGAATGACTTCACCTGGACAAAGTGGCTCATGCCTATGATCCCCAGGACTTTGGGAGGCTGAGGCAGGCAGATCACCTGAGGTTGGGAGTTTGAGACCAGTCCGACCAACATGGAGAAACCCTGTCTCTATTAAAAATACAAATGCCTGTAATCCTAACTACTTGGGAGGCTGAGGCAGGAGAATCGCTTGAACCTAGGAGGCAGAGGTTGCAGTGAGCTGAGATTGCACCATTGCACTCCAGCCTGGGCAACAAGAGTGAAACTCTTGTCTCCAAAAAAAAAAAAGAAGAATGAGTTCATGTCCTTTGCAGGGACATGGATGAAGCTAGAAACCATCATCCTCAGCAAACTAACACAGGAACAGAAAACCAAACACCAAATGTTCTCACTCATAAGTGGGAGTTGAACAATAAGAATGCATGGACACAGGGAAGGGAACATCTCACACTGGGGCCTGTTGGCAGGTGGCGGGCAGGGGGAGGGACAGTATTAGGACAAATACCTAATGCATGTGGGGCTTAAAACCTAGATGATGGGTTCATAGGTGCAGCAAACCACCATGGCACATGTATACCTATGTAACAAACCTACATGTTCTGCACTTGTATCCCAGAATTTAAAGTAAAATAAAAGTAAAAATAATGAATGATTCCCTAGGTTTAAATAAGGTTTTCCTAAGGTATTGGTTTACTCTTAATGAAATTAAAGGAAATTTTGCTTTTTAATTCTATCACCTATTTCTTTTCAAAACTTCTCAGATTCATATCTTAGACGTTCAACTTTTGTTGTGCCTACTGTTTTCAGCTTTTTCCTCCCTTTGAAAAGGACTCTTCAACTTTTTCCATCAGCTCCTCTAATTTTTTCCTCTGATTCCAACTGTTGGGGCCTGATGCTGAAATGTTTTATCTTAGAATTCTATAAAAGCATTGTTTTCCTCCGATATAACTTGATTCTGTACTCTTGGCTTTTCTTGATAAGTGTGATTTTCATTGTAATCAGAAAACTTCTGACACAATTGCTCAGAGTGGTGTATTCCCTTGCTGTACTCATAATCGTGAATACGCTCTTCTTGTGTCTGATTAAATTCAAGCACTTTTTTCAAGTCTGACTTTCAGATTATCTACATGGTCTTCCCATAAGGAGAAGCAGTCACACAGCAGAAGGGGTTTTTTGCCTGTGTAGTAACTTGCTTAAGAAACAAGATTTTTATG